TTATATAAACACAAGATGGCGTCGGTTACGTCAAAAACTGGAGTTGGGAGCTGGACTTTCTAGTTACAATTCCCGGTTGTACTTTGTACTTGCAGCTCCCAACTGCAGCATATGATTCAGCACAACTGCAGCATATGATTACTGCATATGTATACTGTATAGAAGTACACTACCTAATTTACTCACTTACTGATATTCACACACACACACAAGTTGTTTACATTCTTTTACCGCATGGAGCGGCACTAGCACATTAGCGCAGCTGGCTCGTCAGCGATGGTGATACACACTATGCGCGTCTCTTATTATTTAAAACACTTGTAGTAATGATGTGTATTTATAATAAACATAATTATTTGTCAACTTACCGTGTAGTTTAATTGCTTGTCTGGATTGTGCACGACATGAGCCCAATGTACTGTATAGATACTACTGTACACTGCACATTTATACTGGTTCACTTTCGCTGCTTGATTCAACAAGTTGTTTACATTCTTTTACACTATGGAGGAGCACTTCAACGCATCTGGCTCGTTAAAGCCTTTCAACGTACAGTAAGTGAAATATAATTGCTTTTCAGCGGATATTACTAGCTGCTCTATTCTCAATTTATTTATACATATATAATCATGAAAACTAACAGGTACGATGACATATTATTTTCTTTATTACTGTACACTATGACTGTACTGTGTAATCAATTTTGACAGTTATTTGCAGTCTGATGGTCTACTGCGTGCATGCTTATGCGTGCGTGCAGATCAACTGGAAAAAGTCCGCCAGGGTCGCTGCAAATTTTTTTCCACTGGAGCCAAAGCCACATTTCTGTTAACGATTACTCCGCTAATTGCAGAATTTATGAATTTCTTGTACCCGAAGTAAGTGAAGCAAATGTTTTTAGTTCATATTGTGTTGTAACACATGGTATATGTTTTATGTGTACATAGTTTCAGGGGTGCTACATGCAACGAGGGCTCGAGTGGAAAAAGTTGGCCTGAACCTCTCAAAGAATTTTTCCACCTTGTCAACGGTATGGTGTAATTTGCTGATTTCGCAGTTTTTACATTACAGAAATTATTATTATATGCTTGTATATTAGCTCAATGCTTTTATAACAAAAAATACATTTCGTAATGAACCCTAATTATCATAATTAATGATTAATGTACTGTACAGTATTGCACTGTTTATGTAGTATGTACCATGTACTTTTAAGGATAAACGTTCTTTACATTTCTTACTAACTTAAGCACTACTGCTTTTTAATGCCAGGTAATAGAAATATGCAGCGATAGGTTTTTTGTAATTTTATTTATTGCTGCATTTAGTTTCCTAATAACAAGCGCAATTCGTTTTCAGCAGTTTGAAGAGTAATAGCATCTTTTGCACCTAATAAATTAATTTTTCCAGAATGGAAAATCATTGCCGTACAACCTTGAAGCCGGACTCGCATGGCCGGAAATATTTCAGGTTCAAACATGGCATCAGCTTTTGCTCTTATTGAGTTGTACAGTTTCTCTAAACTAAGAAATTTCCCAAAATTAAAAGTGGCGACAATGTTAACGATTCGTGGATTCTTTAACGAGGCTTTTTGATAGCCATATTTTTGCAGTTTCCGGTAATAGTGATCCAATAACGCGAGAGCATCACTGATGGACTTTGCACCATTAACTGTGATCTTGCCGTTGCGGTACACTTGGCAGTGCGATTTGTAAGGACGAATGGAACGGAGAAGAAGCCCGGAAAATTTATGTGGTGCATAATGTGAAAGCGGAGCGCGTTCGGATAAGCTGGGTAAGTCAATTGCGCAGCCAAGGTCAGCAGTTGCAACAACGTTAGTTATTTTCGCCATTCAGCCAATTTGCGAATGTCTCCGCTTTTGAAAGCGTTGTTTGTGGTAATGAAGTAAGCTCCTTAAACTTCGGGCACCCAATGTCTTCAAGATTAAACACTTCAGGCAAATAATTTTCCAAAATCTTTTGCTTTTCCAATCCTTTGGCAAAAAACGTCAAACGCGCAGGTCGTTCACCAATAAGCTCCAGCATATCCTGAATGGCACTAGCGATGTCTAAGTATAAATAATCTCCACGATTATGCCAGACAAGTCCGTGTGAGTGACGCGATTGGCTCCTAAATTCAACGCGGTAATGATTAAAGTCGGATGGAATGGTGAATGCGTAGCACCTGCTAACACCAGTTGGGCAATCACAAAATGCCAGCTGTTTTATAAGCCGTTGGGAGCCAGCGATAAACCAATCAATATCCAAGACAACCCTCCGCTTTGAAGTCTCCATTCTGTTATCGGTACGCTAGCAATAGCTCCGCCCTTTGGAAATGGATTCCTTAAATAGGTATCCGCGCACGACAGCTGATTTGAGATTCCGACTACCCGCTTCAGTCCTTGTTGTGGGGCCAACGACTTCGGGGAAAACGACGTATGTGTCAAAATTAATTATGGAGCGCGATAAATTATTTGACCAACCATTTGGAAGAATTATTTTGGTGTACGGAGAAATGCAGCCAGCCTACGAAATGCTTCAGCGCAAAGTCCCTGGGATTGAACTGACAAAAAATATTCAACAAATTGTGGAGGATGAAAATTATTTTGATGGTAAACAAAATATTTTGTTGATACTGGATGACGTGGCAAGTGGTTTGGTGAAAAATGAGCATTTATCTAAACTCTTCACTCAAAAAGTACACCATAAACGGCTTTGTGTATTTTTATTATTCAATAACCTATATAAACAAGGGTCTGCTATGCGAGACGTGCATCTTAATGCACAATATCTTATTCTGTTCAAAAATAATCGTGATGTGAACCAAATCAAGATTCTAGAAAGGCAGACTGGTTTAAAACATCTCAGCGGAGCTTACGAGGAAATCGGCCAGGAACCATTTCAACCTCTCATTTTGGATATGAAACCGGACACACCTGCCTATTTAAGGATTCGTTCAGCAGTATTACCGGGAGAGTTGACAAAAATTTACATCAATCCACAAACGACAAACTTGCCCAAGAATGTGTGATCAGATTTTAAAAGACTTTGCACCGTTTCTCCTTACCCTGCGATCGCTGAAACCTAAGCAGCGTCGTTTTCTTTTGGAAAATATTTCGAAACGACAACTTCGCTGTTTTGAAGAAATTTGTTTGAATTTGGTAAAGAATTCAGTGCCTCTTACCACCGATCAGCTAAAGGTGTGTCAGCGTTGGCGTCGACCATTAAAGCTGATTGCCCTCAAAAAATATCCTTTACGAAGCAAGAGGAAATTTTATTACAGCGCGGAGGATTCTTACCTGCGGTTCTACCTGTATTGGCAGCTGTTTTGGGAACTGCCTTACTGAAATGAAACCGGAAGTGCATTATATTGTTCCCGCGAGCGAAATGAAAAGACTTGCAAGTGACACGGTTGGTCGTATTGTAACGGATGTCCAATTACAACAGCAGCCTACTGAAGTTGTGGATATTGTAAAACTGGACGATTTGATGAGAGATATAATTTCACGGAATACGCTAAGCGAATGGGAGAAAGCGGAACTGTTATCAAGAAACTTGGCTCGCTTTTTGGCGCTGAAAGAGTCGGCGTTTGGCCCTGACCAAATGGTTATTCCGCCTCCAGCATCTGTGCCCCCCATTCCAGCACAACTATTAAAGAAGCCGTGGGTACCCCCTAATATGCCTGATCGTATGTTAGATGCTTTCCCTCCTATTCCACCTGCACCCCCGGCAAAACGCAAGCGTGCAAAGCGAGAAGTATTTGATGAAAACACTTTACAAATCGAAGGTCCCATCGGTTCAAGAACCAAATCCCAGTTCAACTGGATGACTATTAATAACAAATGAGTGGTGGATGCGTTCCCTTTTCTTTGTCTTTGGGTGAAGGTATGACATGGAACTGCACATCTAGCTGTTGCGATGGATCAAGCAGTAGCGACGACGAATACGATGGCCAATCTACTGCTACGACAAGCGTATCTGAACCCTCAGCACCCGGGCAGCTTAACAGGGATTCAAAAGTTTCGCAGCCACTTTCCACAAGCACCAAACTATCAACAAACGCGGGAACAGCTGGAGCATCTGGATCCATATACAGTCCACAAATCTCGACGCAAAAGGTTCAAAAGAAACCCCGTAGTTGTCTCAAACCTAGCGGAGCAATATCAAGCCGATCTGGCAGACATGTCAAAATATGCGAAGCAGAACAAAGGATACCGTTGGATATTGTTTGTGATCGACGTCTTCAGCAAGAAAGTGAGCTGTCAACTACTAAAGAATAAAAGCGGTCTAGAAGTAAAACTTGGGTTGGAAAAGGTGTTTGCAGAACTCGGAGCTCCCATTAAATTGCAAACGGACAAAGGTCTTGAATTTTACAATAAGGATGTTAAGAGTTTTTTGACAGCCCAAAAGGTTTTTTGTTCTCTTCTGAAAATAAAGCAATCAAAGCATCCTTAGCTGAAAATGGCATACGCAATCTCAAGAAACGAATATGGAAATTATTTCGACACCGACAGTCTAAAGTGTACTGGGACGTTCTGGGAGATTTGGTAAACAGTTACAACAACGCAATTCATTCTTCGCATAAAGTCACGCCTAATGAGGTTAGCCAGTCCAATTCTCTGCAAATATTCAATCGACTATATGCAGAATTATTATTGGGAAAGCAGAAAAAGCCAAAGTACAGCGTAGGTGACACAGTACGAGTAGCCATCGACAAAACACTTTTTGAAAAAGGATATGAGTCAACATTTAAGGAGGAAATTTACAAGATACAACAAGTATTACCACAACAGCCCGAGCCCCTCTACGTTTTACTGGATGAAGACGGGGATTTAATTCGCGGGAAATATTACGAAGCCGAACTCAGTCGTGTCAGAAATGGCTCATAATAGCTTTTATGTCACGCTTCCATCTGATGCCTGTATGCAACAGTTCCCAAAGAATAATGCAGCTGAATGGACCACAAAGTTAAAGAGCGTGATATCCCTACCGGGACAATGGGAAATGGCATTGGTGGAAATACAGTATCCTAATTCAATGTACAATTTACCCAGTTCCCAAACGTTGCACGTTGACCAAATTACTTCTATGGATAGCAACGGTGTTTTCGCTATGGACCGGGACACAATTACGGTACCTGCAGGGATCTATGAGAAAAGTGACATCATTAATTTTATCAACAATAACGTACCACGGTTAAAGCCATTTCGCGATTCTACAGCGGAAGAACAGGCTTTTCAATTAGAATTAGTAGCAACCGAGCCCAAGCTCAAAGTGAAATTTCCCAGCGTACGTGTTTTTCTGGATTTTCCTCCCTCATCTTTGCATCTATCCCGTATGCTTGGATTTAAAGAACGACGATTTTCTGCTGCACAGTCTGAACAATATGAAAATTTTTGATGGAAAAAACGAATTTTGCTTCCGCAGCTACAACACTGTCCGACCAGCTGAAAGCCTTGGCAGAGTTGCAGTTGTTGGAGACGTCTATAACAATGACAGCAGATAAGCCCGTGAATATGCACATTGGGAACCAATCAATTTTTGTCTACTGCAACAAGTGCGACTACAATATTGTGGGCGATGAAACTATGCAGCTTTTGCGCGCTTTCCCCATTAAAGCAAGTGTTCCTCGCTTCGAAATTGTTTCGGAAAGGTTTGAGGATCCACATTATTTACCTGTTTTATACGATCGACTGGACACTATTGATATCAACATTGCAACTGATCTCGGAGAAGCGGCAATTTTTCAGACTGGAAAGTCAATGGTAAAGCTGCATTTCCGCCCCATTCAGTATTACTATCGCTAAAAAATGCCCGTAATCCTCTTTGAGCCGTCACCATCGTTCTATCTGGATTTATTTGCGGGGGCCGCCACGGGCGCTAGTAGCCAGCACGGCTATGGAGCCGTCATGACACGCTATCGCGGGAGTTTAATGCAAAATGGCAGCGGATTTATGCTACCTAATTTTCTGCGCGCAATGTTTAGTAAATTAGCGCATTTTGCTGCCCCGGTTATTAAAGCAGCGGCACCACATGCCAGAGCAGCAATGGAAGCAGCAAAGCCCCACTTACGCGACGCAGCGACAACAGTTCTTAGTGAAACATCCAAGAAGGTAGGAGAGAAAATTTCGGAAGCGTTAACTGCGCAACCTCAACAGCAAGGAGGCATCAAACGGCTCAAGCAGCAGCACAAGAGGACAAAAAAGATAAAGAAACCTTCCTTCCGACTTAAACGGCTTAAACGGATTCCCCCAAGAGAATTTGAGGACGCATTTTAAAATGGCTTTTATTTTGGAAGGAAGCGTGCCAGCTATGCAGGTCGAGTCGGATTTATTCTCCGTTCCGGCCACTCTAGCGGATTTTGTGCGGACAGAAGAAGAACGCATTCTACCAACATCAGGGCAAACAGAAGAAATTAGTTCTGGAGAAATTTCTTTTCACATTCCCCCTTCAACGTCGGCGCTGCTAGTGCTAACGGAAATTACGCTAGAAATGGATATTGCAATCAAAAAGCAAATTGCAGGACTTGGTGCGGCTACGCATATTGAAAACACGGATCTGGTTGCACCAGTGAACCTAATAGCGCATTCTATATTCAGCTCGGTAGAGGTAACAATGGCCAACCGCCTGATAACTAATTCCACCCCATTATATGCCTACCGAGCGTATTTGGAAAATTTGTTGGGGTACACACCGGCTGCCCTCAAAAGCCAGGCAACAAGTGCTGGATTTTATATAGACACTCCCGGGTACCTAGAAGATCATGCCAATAACGCTGGAGAAGTAACGCGGAAAGCCATGTTTGTGACCAACGAGTACGTCCCATTCAGCGCCAAATTATGTACGGACATTTTCCAGCAGGGAAAAAATTTGATCACCGGTGTACCGCTACATGTGCGCCTCATTTTGAATAAGCCGGAATTCTACCTGCGTTCATACGCCAATCTTCCAGTGGATACTTTTAAAGCATACATTCGCAATCCGCGGCTGTACGTCAAACGCTTTGTGCCTAATCCGGCATATTTGTCTGCGCTTACTGCCCAATTATCGACAAAGACTGTGAAATACCCTATTGAGCGAGTGTGTATGCGTGTTAATGATATTGGTATGATTCAGAGCACAGTGCTGGCTAATTTACATATTGGAGCAGTACCCAAATGTGTTTTTGTGGGATTTGTAAAAAGCTCGAGTTTTCACGGGCTGCGCCGAGGTAATCCGTTTAACTTTGAACATTTCAATCTCAACTATATAAGTGTCGAAGTCGACGGACAGTCGTATCCCGCACAAGCCTACCGACCAAATTTCGCCACGGGTGATTATTTGCAATCATATGACGGTCTTTTGGAGACGCTTGGCCGCTTGCACGCACCGGACGGGGCGCTGCCTTTCGACCGTAAAGCATTTGCGGAAGGATTTGCTATTTGGGGATTCGATCTGACACCTTCACGGACAGGCCGGGGACCGATGAGCACCGTACGCCAAGGAAATCTATCAATCCGCCTGCAGTTCGCCGCCCAATTAACTGAACCAATTATGGCCATTACGATGATGGTGTGGGATAATATAATTGAAGTCAACTCACATCGCCAGCTCATTGCGGATTTTACGGCTTAAAAACGTAACGTAAGCGTTTGACAGCCTAAAACATTGTCGTGTTGTTGCCTGAGCGGTAAGCTTCAGGGTCGCAAGTGGGGGGTTGGCGCGCCGTCGGCCCCTTTTGACGCTGAAGAGAATCGTGACGGATGTGGTAAACAATGGGCGACCGGAGCGCTTCGCGCTCTCGGTCGCCCGTTGTTTACAGGACAAAGTTTAAAAGAAAATTCAAATTTTATTTTGAATGCAGATCGGCACTACAATGGACACTGCTGAGATTGATCACGTGCTACGTTCAAATACCGTGACGAGAGACGCTTTTATTGGTGTATTCGCTGCCGGATATGCTACCATCGTCGCTGCCAGCCAAGCTACCATGGGCATGCGTTGTCAATACTGACGAAGCTGCGAAACCTGGCTCGCATTGGCTGGCGTTCTACCAGGCTATACCAGGACAGCTGGAATATTTTGACTCTTACGGTCATGAACCGCATTATTACGGCCACTACATTGAAACTTTTTGCAAGAACGCGGGCATGGTTATTTCACAAGCGCATCGTTTACAAATGGAGTGGAGTACCGTATGCGGACAGTATTGCTGCTTTTTTATTCTAAAACGATGCTCCGGCGAGTCATTTACTTCTCTTATTCATTTATTTACCAATAGCAAAGCTTCGAATGATCGAATGGTTTGTGCTTATGTTAATTATTATTTTAATTTAAAAACTGTTGTCCGTGATAACTCTTTGCTTATTCAGTCTGTTTTCCGCCAGATAACGCAATAAAGTCACGTCATCAACGCCAGATTTTTCACGTTCTGTTTGTATGTGATTAAAAATAATTTGTTGTGCACCAAAATATTTTGCGGTCCAGCGTGACGTTGCGCTGCATCCGTTTTGATGCACATAAAATACCCCAGTCAGTGGACAATTTTCAGATGCAACAGCTTTTTCATCTCATTACGCCAGCGGAAATTAACGATTTCTAAAGCATTAGGTCCAAAAATGGTTTACCATATTGTTGTAGACATTAAGTGGTATGCGCTTAACGGGAAGCCAATTATTACGTCACTTGCAATAAGCTCGGTCGAATTTTATTGCCTTTATTATACCACATTTGCGTTAGCGCCAAGCAATTACATTGTGAATAAATATGGCGTTTGTTCTTCGGATATTGATGCTGTGTTCGATAAAGCTTTCTCAGAGTTAGAACACCAAATCGAACGAGCGTTTAAAAATTATCTTCGCTACGTTGACGATCCTGCCGATGTCGTTTTCTATGCAAAAGTGTCTTATTCTTCAAAAGCTGATTAAATCTGATGTCATTAATCTTGATACACTGGGCTGTCCGCGTTTTGCCGATCTAAGCAAGGACAAGTGTTACAGTCCTAATAAAGCTCAAGCTTACTCTAACTGGATGCTGGACCACCATTTAAAAAGTCGTACGAAATGCCTGCTTTGCCGTATGCCGATTCCAGAAGTAAAAGTTCACGTTCGACGGCAACGACGCTGCCGCAACTCAAGATCAGATCAGAATGCTTACTGGGGTATGCAATGAAATGTTTCCGCGCTTTTAAAAAAAAAATTTTAACAAGCTCTATGTTATTGCAGATGACCGAGGTAACAGACGTTGCATCCGCTGTGGTGCTGTATTTCCCACCGATACCGATTGCAGTGAAGAAAGTACTCACGCGGATATTAGCATGCCAAGAATTTCTAGTGCATGAGTCAGTGTAACCTGCCTAACTAACCGTACCCGTTACAAAATGCTGTACTGGAATTTTGTTCTCGTCCAAATCAGTTATATAAAGTGGCATCTTTGTCGCTAGCAACTTTCTTTGGCCATATTTTGCTTTCATCATGGCGCAAACCCCTGACTTATCCGCAGAATTGTTTGACCCCGGCACCAGTGCTGAAACTAACTTTGCTGATAGTGCTCTTTTCAATCATAATTATGCGCTTCTCGATCACAATTATTTTATACCTCCGGCTCCGATCGATGTGCCAGTACAGAACCTAGAAGAACTTGATCCGGATTTGTATGATATTAAAGATTATTATGAGTTGGAAAAAACGGGGGCTAAATATTCACAAAAATTTTCAGTGTCGTTTGAAACCTATAAATGTGTGATACACGGTCTGGATAATTTGTCATTTAAATACGCGATTAAAACCATAACTCTTTTATTGAAAGACATTCTGGACACCGTGCTTTCGGCAATTCCAGCCCACAATTTGGTTAGAATTCGCTTGTATCAAAACGCACTGCAATACCCAATTTGGATGCCACCTATCCAACGTGATCAGCTGAGTGTTGAAAGATGGATGACAACGATCCGGAGAATCTTGAATTCAAATCAGGCGTTTTTATTGGATGAATCTTTTGAATTGTCTGTGCAGCATACGGATATTCCAACTGGGTCGTGCAGAAAAAACGTTTCAAAGCTGTTACGGCAAATACTGGACAAGAAACGATGCATTACACAAATCCGCAACACGGACTGCTTGTGTATGGCGCGAGCTATTGTGGTCGCTAAGGCGCATGCAGATGGCGATAAAACAATGTATACAAAGCTTTACCGAACGAAGAAGTTGCAGACCGAAAAGACCAAGGAGTTGCTGCAGGCTGCGGAATTGCCAGATAGAGAATTCAGTGTGGAGGATATTCCTCGATTTGAAATCGTTTTACCAAATTATCAATTTATTGTAGTCTCGGTGGACCATGGAAACTCAATTGTGTACTGCGGCGCGTACTGTGAAAAACGGATCATGCTGCTGCATCATGATCATCATTTTGACGTGCTAACATCCCTGCCCGCGTATTTTGAACAACAGTATTATTGCTACCGCTGTATGAAGGGCTACAACAAAAGGCAGAACCACAGATGTGAGTTCAAGTGTCATCAGTGTTTATCTGTAACCTGCCCTATGGACAAGCTTCAGAACATCCACTGTCCTGACTGTAATCGCGATTTCCATGGGCAAGAGTGCTTTACACGCATAAGTCCGGAAGCAGTCCAATCTGCGCAAAGTTCTTTATTTGTGAATTATGTAAGTCGTTTGTTTCCATGGTGAATCGTCGAATGAAGACCAATTACGACTTGCCACAAAATTATCCGCTTTACGATGACGGCGACAAGGATAGCGACAATGAAAACGATGATATTGAACTGGATATAGATGACCAACAACATCGGTGTGGTGAAGTCTTTTGCCCAACGTGCTCATTGTTCTTCATGCCCGAAGATAATCATGTCTGCTACATGCAACCCATTGAGCTCACAGACAAAGAAAAGGCTAAACACCTAAACGATAAGCTAGCGTACTTTGATCTTGAAACGTTTCAAGATGAGGCAGGTGATTTCAAAGTGAATTTAGCGGTCATAGCAACAAAAGACGAGAAATTTGTCCTTCCGGAAGATGGAAATATTAGCGGTGATATTTCAAGTGCTTTGGGGGAATTCATCTTTAGCGAACGCTTTCGTGGGTACACCTTTATTGCACACAACTTGAAGGTAAACAATGTCAAAACTTCATAAGCAATCATAAGCTTTTGTTGACAAAAACTTACTTTTTAGGGATTTGACGGGTATTTTCTGCTAAACTATCTAATTAAGAACGGAATCATTCCACACCCATTGATCTTTAACGGGAGCAAGGTTGTGCAGATGGATATTTCAAAACTTAAAATAAAATTCCGTGACTCTATGAATTATGTGCCGTCATCGCTCAAAAATTTTGCCAAAGCATTCGGTTTGCAAGAAACCAAAGGAGACTTTCCTCACAAACTTAATCAGCCAGAAAATTGGAACAAAATTCTTCCATGGCCAGATCGACACGATTACGGTTACCAGCTCATGAAAAGAAAGAGCGTAAACGTTTTATAAAGTGGTTCCGTAAAGAGCGACGCCGTCACAACAATCAATTTGACTTTAATGCTCACTTTATTGGGTAGGTAAAATATGTCATTTACTCTGGCCGCCGTATTTATTTAGCTCTGTTATAGATATTGCTCGCAAGATGTTCTTGTTCTCCAACAAGCATGTGAGAAGTTTCGAACGCTCTTCCAACAAGTGACGAATGGATTGTGTCCATTTGCTTCAGGCCTTACCACCCCTGGAATGTGTAATTATTTTTGGAGAGCGCGGATGTTAAAGAAAAACCAAATTGCGCTGATTGGTCCCCCTGGACAAGGTAAAAAATCTTCTGCCAAAGGAGATCGTTGGCTCCGATGGATTGAAATGGACAACGATATACAACTCCAGCGCGAGGTTCGAATCGGCCCTTGGACAGTAGATGGTTTTGACCCAAGGAATAAAACCGTTTATGAGTTTCTAGGTAAATTAGATGAACAACGAATTTTAGCAAATACAGAAAGTTTTGATATAATTGTGTTTGTTCTTTTAAGGGTGTATGTGGCACGGTTGCAGCGACTGCACGACAAAAAGTACACTGCATCCATTTCTTAATCGCCCCATGGAAGAAATCAACAAAGCAACTGACTCACGCCTTGACGCAATAAAAGCTATGGGTTACGCTCTTGTTTCAATCTGGGAGCACGAATACGATGCGCGCCTAGCAGCAGACATGGAATTCAAACAAGTCATCGAGTTAGCAAACATTGAAGAGCCTATGCACCCACGAGATGCATTCACCGGTGGCCGAACAAACGCTATCAAACTGTACCACAAATGTGCGCCAGGCGAAAAAATCTATTCCCTCGACGTTATTAGTGAGTACCCCTACATCAATAAAAATCTGCCTTATCCAGTGGGAGCTCCTGTCATCATCACAAAGGACTTCCCGCCTGTGGAAAGCATATTCGGAGTGATGAAATGCCGTATCATTCCACCACCGTCATTATTTCTCCCTGTACTGCCGTACAGAACCGACAAGCTTACATTTCCGTTATGTGCCAAATGCGTACAGGAGCGCGTGAACACACCGTGCTGCCATGAAGATGATGACAGGGCTTTGGAAGGAACGTGGTGTACACCAGAAATTCACCGCGCGATAGAAGCTGGCTACCGCATTGAAAAGATTTACTCTGTTTGGCATTATCCAGAGCAGATGCAATATTTATTCAGAGAATACATAGATCTATTTTTGAAGCTTAAAACAGAGGCATCAGGCTATCCACCGAACTGTCGAACAGAGGAAGACAAAGACAGATATATTGAAGAGTTTCTTATTAAAGAAAATATTTTATTGGATAAAAACAACATTGCGAAGAACGATGGGCTAAGAGCGTTGTCCAAACTTATGCTGAATAGTTTTTGGTAAAGAGTATTAATTCGATTGGCAACATGCAGTTTTAATTCTGAGTCTTTTTACAGGGGTAAGTTCGGCCAGCAGGAGGACAGATCCAACACCGCATTTGTTGAAAAGAAAGAGATTTTCCATGATTATTTGTTTTCCAATAAATACGAGGTTGCCGGATTCGACTTGGTGACTGATGAAGTTATGGCTGTTCAATACCGTTCTAAAAAAGATTACATCCCAACAAGCAAAAAGACAAATGTTGTCATTGCGGCATTCACAACAGCATATGCGCGGTTGCACTTGCTGAAGTTTATGGAAATGGTTGGAGACCGCTTGTTATATCATGATACTGGCAAGTACTGAATTTCAAGAAACTGTCTTTCGTATTGTCATTCTATCTGTGCACTTTGCAGACAGTATCTTTTATATTCACACTGATGACTTGCCTGATCCGCCAGTGGGGACATGTTTAGGAGATTTGTCATCGTCCTTGGAGCCTAATGAGCACATCAACGAATTTGTTGCACTCGGTACATTCGGATCTACGTTAAGCTGTTTTACGGTGCAGCTTATAAGTATTTATACTTCATTCTTTTCAGGGCCTAAAAGCTACGCGTACCGCACCAACACTGGCAATGAAACGATAAAGGTCAAGGGCTTTACCTTAACAAGGAAAGCCAGGAAACAGTTGAACCTCGAAAGCCTGAAGGAAATGCTATTAGAAAGCCTGGCACCGCAAGACCAGCCAAATGATGTAACCGTGAACTATCCGTTTAACATTACGCGGAATAAGCGTAAATTGGAGGTTTCCGCAAAAGAAATAAATAAACGGTTTCGACTTACATATTCAAAGCGTCGAATTGTCGACACGGAATTTAACACTCGACCATGGGGTGACGTTTCCGTTGATTAAATCTTCAACTGTCAGTGCTGAACAGTTGTTGATACTGGTTTTCATATTATGACTTACTCCGAAAAAGGCCTCGAGCAATATTATTAAAATTAACATTAGAACAATGCATGTTCCCATAACTGCTTCGCAAAAGTTCTTTTTACACACTAGGCGTGCCATTTTGATAGTATATTTTCTAGCTTATGTATGGTGATTTATTATGATTTCGTGCCTTTAATACTTACTTTAAAGTGAAAACACAATCCAGACAACCGATTATATAATACAACCAAAAATTAAAATTTTGTCTAATGATAATATCATCGAATTGTGTGCGGATGTTAGTATTGCATATGTAGCGTGTTTCATACACGTATGAAATATATACAGTGTACAGTTGTGATGACTCATGTGTGGGAGTTGGGAGCTGTAGTTATAAAGTGCAACCGGGAATTGTAACTAGAAAGTCCAGCTCCCAACTCCAGTTTATGACGTAAGCCGTCGCCATTTTGTGTTTATATAAGGTCCGTTTTCTTCTAACTTCCCTTCGAGTCATGCCGCAGACCGATTTGCGTAGCTAACCTGACATCGTTCTTCCTAGCTAAAAAAAAGTATTGCCTGTTAGCCGATAGCGAAAACTTATCACAGTAAGTTTTCTGTTTTTTGCCAAAATAATTCCAAAAGCCCGGAGATCAGCGAACGTTGTAAGAAGTACAGATAGGTAGAAGCCATGCGGGTATCGGTTATAATTTTTATGACTTCACTGTAACTTGTCATTCGTATTGAATACTGCTTAAGGGAATTGGCCCGGTACATAGCACCAAATTCGTGTACATTGACGGGAATATTTGCTTTCGCGTACTTCCAAACATTCTTTTGGGTTGCTTTTTGTCATTGTGTAGCCAAATGATTTTTATACATAGGCGTGTTTGTTACCAATATAACTCCGCAAGCGGATGTTGCGCGCGCAAACGGATTTCACACCGACGAACACAATTCTTTTGGCTACAAAAATGCTATAAAGCAATGCAAAAAAGTGTTTGGGAGTGCGAAACAGCGAAAGCTCCTGTGGATGTACACGAATTTCGTGTTATGTAACGGGCCAAATCCCTTAACAGCATATACTGTTTTCGGAAGGCGACATGACACTTCCATGACACTTCCTTGCACTTCGGCCACAAATACTTTCGAAAATACATATAAAACGGAAAGTTAAATGCATACGATGAGCAAGTACTTGAAATCAGGAAGAGTTAGAATACATGAGTACAACCGCAACTGCTTAGAACGCAATTTGCAGTCAGATAATATTGCATATGAGTTCGATTTATTTATGACACTAGCTGATGCTGCTACCATCCAATCCTTGCAGCTCATCTACATCTACTTGCATGCAGCCTGTAAATGGCCGCTTACTTTTGAATTTGCAGTACAGGTGAACGTAATGCGTATTTTGAAAGTGCTCTACCTACATAACATTGTAGGCCGTTGTACAATAAAGCACGTAATGCATAAGTAATTAAGTACCAGTAATTCATAAAATCACGTCTGTGTGGTTACACCGACAATATAGTATTGTATATACGGAAAGTATAAGAAACCCTAAATTCTAAAAACAAAAAAACTAAGAAACCGAAATCTGAGAAAGTGAGAAGCGTAAGGTGCTGTGCGGTAGCCAAAGTGTCCGGTTGCCCAAGTGGCAGGACACCTTCGGTAATTGCAGACTGCATTAATTATTTATAGTAGCCGCAATGCTAAATCAATTGCTATGCCAACGATATAGCACAACGATATAGCACAAACGCCGTTCTTTCTTACGTACACTTCCATTTAAAAACAATCAGCACAACGAAGATGTTTTCCGATATTAACATTCAGCAAACATAAACTTCTGCGTATTTTTGCCGTGTCGAAGTGTAGCAAACGACAGGATCTTGGGTGCAGTGCCAGGAAATGACCAACAGCCGAACTGACCAGAATGCAAGAGCACTTTTTGCCCGTAGCAGCAGATCCGGGGTTAGTCAATACGACAAAGCTGAAATTTCTTTACTTCCTACAAACGGGAAGCGGATAGAAGTCGAGAAGACGTCAATTTGGTAGATAAATAGTCAAAATTTCGCTAAACAGTAAAAATTGGCCGGTAAATAGTCAATATTTCTGATAACAGGCGGCGACCATTAAGTAAGAACAGTTTCGGAAAAACCCTCCGCAAGTTACGAACAACATCGGCCGTGATTTTCACCCACAAAGTTTTGTTCCGCAGTTTCCACTTTGAAACCACCAGTTAGACTTCCACCAGGAAGAAAAACGGTTTTGTCAGAGCGTCATTCCAAAGATGCTGCCAGAGCGTAGGATCGTGTAAGCTGGATGGTTTTCAGAATATGGGTGCGTCCGAACAAAAAATGCCCCGGCAAAAAAAGGCCGCGGCAAAAAAAAGCCCCCGCAAATTTCGTCGCATCCCACAGTGGTGCCGTAGCCGTCCGCACAAGTTAAACTAACGTTCGTCGACTTCGTCCGCCTGTTTCCTTGCCCCTGCTGGGCATTGCACACGCTGTATCGAACAGGAAGCAACGTGTGTGCATCTATCCAATAATTACAAATTAATAACCACATAAATCAATTGACTGCGCAAAAAGTACATTTATGTCTTAATTAATTCGTGTCGTTATAGTGTTGTAATTAACGAAAGGTCAACGGTAAAGATGAAGCAGGGAAAGTGATATAATTTGCTAAAGCGAAGAGAAAGAGTTCCCGCTTGCCTCGTACTTCAGCACTCGAATTTAGTTTTAGCAGGGATTTGTAAAAATCATGTTGGGCTGCAGCCCATGTATGCACGCAGACGTACTTCCCAGACGCACTTCTCTGTAACCGCAACAGAGCTAAGAGACATGCAGTCTACGTCGTCGTACGAAAAGCCAGTGTGCGCTTTCCTGTCACAACACCTGTAGAAAAATCAATTTCTGGTTCTTTTAAAGAACAGCTCTCTAAAAAGAGACTAAGTACAGCTTTTGAGCAAATAAACAATAAATTGTACTGACGATATGCACGGTTAGAAACAAGCAACGGCAACGTCATAGTAAAAAATGCAACTGATGGGCAACCCATAGACGGTCTTTCACACAATGTTCAGGTAGAACTCCTGCACGAACCATTCGTCAAAGAGATCATCGACGCGAAACCAGCACTGGTAGCGTCCGGCATCGCGGCGGCTGACTTTTGGGATACGAATCTCCAGGCCGCATCCACAGCCATCGGCAAACACTGAGTACCACGAGTCCGCTCCGTCTCGCGACTGCACTCCGTTGCGAAATGGCCCGTGCTTGGACGCAAAGATCAAGTAGTTGTCGTTGCGAAACAGAAACCGCTCACCAAAAGGATTCGACACGGCGTCGAATTTCACATGGCAACGCAGCTTTACTTCGTCACCGACGGTGACGGTCATATTGGACATGGGCGGATCAAACAGTACCCCTCGCGTCATATGGGGACTAACACGGTACCTCCGAGTGGTTATCAGTTGACTGCCGTTGTACTGCAAACACTCATAGATGCCACTATGCATCTGCGAGAAGTTGAACAGCGTGATGGTGTAAATGCGGCCACCTGAAGTCAACGGAGTGTAGGCTACCGGTGTGTACATTGGGATCGGTTCACCACACTTGGGTCGTGGGCGTAGGCAGAGATTCCACGCCGCATTCCGGCCTTCTTCCAAGTTGCTTGTGTTGGTTGGCTGCAGTATGTTGTTGAACTTGTACGGCACGTAACGCTCCGCTGCTTGTTGTCCATCTCCTACGGGACAGTGCAGCTCTACGGTGGTCCATAATGCAGCTCGGACGATGATGTCGTCAAGACTGGCTTCGTGGCTAGGAGTCAGGTTGAACAGTTTATCCAACGATATCGGAGCAGACATATTTCCCTTAGAAGCGACGTCTAGCTGCGTTAGAACTGCAATGCAAAATTATTGCCATTAATGTAAGAATGCTCTCGTGCATGCGATCGTAAGCATATTATCAGACGTTATTATTTAAAAAAAATTTGTTAATAAGGACTCGCGTAGTGCTTCAGTATGCGCAACTCTTGTTGGAATACGGTACAAGCGAACTCCTAAGCGAAGTTTGAATAATGTATAGAACATCGAGCTCTGTAGGAAAGAAATGAAAACATGTCTTAAATTGTCATAAGGCAGGAAGAGCGCCGGTAGTCACATGATATAAAATTCGAGTACATGTGCACCTTCAAATACTTTTTGCATTGTTATGACGTGTACATACTGTAGCCAAATGGATTGCATACACTGGCGTGAAAACCGTGTTTACGCGCAACGTTCGCATGGGGAATTATGGATGCAACGAAATTCCAAAAGATTACCGTACGGAGGTGTACCAAAAGTCTCATTATCAAACGGTATTTTTCAAATTTTGCATAAAAAACCCACCTGACATGAAGACGTGAAAGTGAACGTGTTCGTACACGTACATGAATTTGTTAATTCATTTCACAAAACACTACTACAAACAATTTTATTTAACACTGCCGCTTCGTGAGTTCGGTGCCATGTATACAGCATACTGTACACATACTACTTATACTTATTCCGTAGTTTTACTGCAACGAAAATATGGTCCCAAAAATTCACAGTAAAATAAAAGCTCCTTTCGTGACTGGCTAAAATTTGTATGTCGGCCAAAGTGTCCGACCGTAACATCAGCCGAAATACATAAATTTCCTACTGTAACCGTATGCGGTGGGTAAAGTCCGCCTAAATTTTAAATACCTATCAAAGCACGGAATTACCACAGAATCCTTGAATAACCGAATCCGATCACCTTTCCGAATTTCTATACAGTTTGCTCATGGATTATCAAAATATTTTTGTGCATGTACTGTGCTGGGAACTATGAACCGCATAGTTTTGCGGTGTCTTTATATATGCGTGTCAAAAAGCTCGCCCAAGAATATTTTTCGGTTTCGCAAATCCAGTTCAATTTATTAGGTGACACCGTGACAGCGCCACATGTATTAAAACGCCAGGAGCCTGATGTAATAAAATCATCCTCAACAATAGCAATTTATAGGATAATTATACAATAACATGAAAAAATATTACGTTAAATTAATCAGCCAAGCATGCGAAAAGGTGCTCAGCAAATAATTAATGAAAGCGACGGCTGTTTCAAATCGAAATTTTATTGTCGGTAGATTGTCATACATGCCTGTAGATCGAAAATACGTTTAGTGAATTTGCACACAGCTGGAAAAAAGTCAGTGGGAATGGTTCAGGGTGAAACGAGTTCAAGCTGAAAATTAACGCCCGCAACATTCGCCTGCAGGAGACGAATATTCGCAGTCCCAAAGCCGACTGAATTATGTACTGTATGTATAAATTGGTTGTACATATAACTTGCATAATTCATAACCTCTTTTTGTCGTACTTGCCAAATTATCATTATTAATAAAATAATCGCCCCAGAAATAAT